AGAGGCCGCCATTAACACCAGCGGCCACCATTAGCACCAGCGGCCCAACACCCCAACGCAAGAGGCCGCCATTAACACCAGCGGCCACCATTAGCACCAGCGGCCCAACACCCCAACGCAAGAGGCCGCCATTAACACCAGCGCGCTTCTCTCTTTAAGACTCTTTCCTTGGCTGTCCTTAGTTCACACTCCTGCACTGCTCACCCCCTGGTCCTTCTTTCATTTATTGCATTATCACGTTAGCAGATGATATTGTCCAGGCTGATGTGCACAGCCTGCTCTTAATTTAATTTCTATTTATCTCTGGCATGCAGCTAAATATTTACTGGAGTGATTAAGGTTGGGGATAAATATTCTGGGATCTTTTGGTCAGTTTGCTAACCAACACATGCTGGCCTGATAATTGTATTAAACATTTAAAAATATGAAATGATGAGCACCACATGTGCTGGGACCCTTGACACTGTTAACCACCCCCCACCCCCCGCACCTGGAAGCTTTGGGGGAGACTGAACCGCTTCCTGGGAGCTGGTCTGTCCCGGCAAATGTACCTAGATATTGCTTTTAGTGTAAACAAAAAGGATGGCCGGCTCGAAGTGGGACTCTGTAGCCATTTCTTTTCGTCTCCGTGTGTTTAGGAAAAGGCCACGTGAACTTTAATGGATGCTTGTCAGCTCTGCCGTTCAGATTTTCAGCCCCATATGCTCCCCATCACTCCCAGTCCACTTCTTGAGGAGGAATGAGTAGGCGGAGATGGTCAGGAAGAAACCAAGAGAGTGTCATTCTTCTGAAAGGCTGGATGATGTGGCAAGGGCATATCCAAATACAATTGTTGGGCCCTTGAGCGAGGCCCTTAACCCTCAATTGTTCCAAGGACTGTCTGACTCTCTCACAATCGCACTTTGCCTTGTGTAAAAGCATCTGCTAGATAAATGTAATGTAATGTAATGTAATGTAATGTACTGCCATTGTTATGCTCCAGAGGGAGAGTGTGTCTGGCTGTGCAGCAGGGAATGTAACTGCGGCAGAGTGGCCTTAGGCTAGGTGCCAACGCCCCAGGAGGCTGAACGGGGGGGGGGGGTTCACGGGCGTCCATGGTTAGCGGCGGGACAGCAGTCCGGGCATATCATACTTGGAGGCAGCAGCTCTAAACAGTGTCACCTGTTTCTAATACAGCCAGTTCCCAGGCTATCAGGAGCTGGAACAGGAAGCATAAGGACCAGCAATGACAGTCACCAGTATCACTCCGAAATGAAGCTTTTGAATGAAGCCGAAATTCGTTAGTTTTCCCATAATCCATCTTGCTGCTCTGTGAGACACACAGACGAGAATGGAACTTGAGGTCGGAGCTGTCAGCTGTTTTCGTCCCAGCATTTCTTGAACAATTTCTTTTTTGGTAGTTAAGGGTTTTGCACAAGGTGATATGATCACTCTCCCAGCCATGGGATTTGAACCAGCGACCTTCCGAACACAGAATCACACAGCACTGTAACTGCATTCCTCATCTGTTCAGGTATCGCAGCCTTGTGCTCTGTGTACCTCTTGCTATGCTTAGAGGGTGTTCTGAACTCTCATCAGGTTGTTATCCAGTTGTCTCTCAGTTACTCTGCCATACAGTCCATTCGATTTCATGGCCTGTTCTATAGAAAAACACGTTTGTCCAAAGCCCATGATAAAATGTGACTAACGAGTGCTTTTTCAAATAAGTATGTGCAGAATGGAGTTTCTGAATAGTACCCCCCTTCCTCCACCTCTCTGCCAGCTTCTCCAGACGACCCGTGGCCCCCCCCGGGGAGCCCCACTGCCGGTGGTGTCAGGAGCCCGTCTTAATTATGGTGCTCCAGGCCTCGACGCTCAGACGGCTGCTCTCAGTGGCAGAAATCCTCGCGTTGTGATGAAGGATTCAGAGATGAGCTGATGAATATCCCACTGATTAGGATCAAATGACGCTGTCGTGGTGTGCCTCTCATTAGGCCCCGGGGGGGGGGGTGAGCCGTGGTCCTGGACACCTCCCATCTTAAAACTAGTCACGGTGTGAATGAGGAGTGTTATGTTTCGATGGAAGTGATTCACAATAGTAGGTCAAAAATGGCCTTTGATTGTTATAGATGCAAACTACATGCAAAAACCTTGGTAAATGTTTCAGCAAGACCATTGTGTCCTCCTGTCACCTCTGCCCACTTCCCATACCATCATCGCTTCATTACGGTCGTGCTTTGGAGAACGGAAAATATTTGCAGCTTTGTTTCTAGATGTTCTGACGAACTCTGCGTTTAATTCAGGCAAGCATTTGTCTGAAGAATGTTTGACTGATAGGCGCTCAGGATGGGTTCAGACGCTGCGAGATCGCGTGTAGTGCGGCGCCGACGTTATGAAAGCGTGGTGTTCATGTGGGAAGCACCGTTTCATCTGGGTTTTGATTTGAAAATCAGTGTCCACAGACCACATCCTGGGAAGGAACGCGGCAGACACATTGCACACATTTGGCCATGTCCAGCTTTCCGGGGGTCTGAGAGGAGCTCACCTTGCTTGCTGAGAGGCCTTTTGGTCCTTTTCTATGTTCCAGTCACAGGGTCCGGCTTTCGGGTCCTGTCTCCCAGGTCGTGGGTCTGGCTTTTGGGTCCTGTCTCCCAGGTCGTGGGTCTGGCTTTTGGGTCCTGTCTCCCAGGTTCTGGGTCCGGCTTTTGGGTCCTACCTCCCAGCTTTCATTGCACAGCCCTGTTTCTGTTCATACCAATAGTAAGATGTTCTGATAGCACTGTACAGTGCATTCTGGGGATCCAGTGTCGTTCATTCTTTGAATTCGTTGCTGCAGCTTCTCTGTTTACCACTTTACGCCCTGTCTGTAGTTCTTCGGTCAGTAACCTTTGCTCTTTATGTGTCTGTCATTTTTTCCTGTTCACCCAGCACAGTGTTTCCTGAATAAATCAAACATTAGTGTGTTTGGAGGTATGATCATATTGCCTCTGGGGATTTCAGGAGTTGGCCAGCTCTTGTGTTACCAGTGGTTGCTTTAGGTGTGTGTGTGTGTGTGTGTGTGTGTGTGTGTGTGTGTGTGTGTGTGTGGGTATTTACTACATCATGGGAACCAAATGTCCCTGCAAAGTAGTAAAACCTGCTACCTTCTAGTTTGACAGGACATTTCTCAGGTCCCCACAAATAAATAAATAAAATAAATAAATAATAAATACATAAAATAAAATTTGAATATCACTTGAATAATAAATCTCAATTTTTACAAAATACCAAAGCATCCAAAAACCTTGCATTTTGTTTAGTTACTTATAGTTAAAGTTAGGTTTGGGAAGGGTTAGGGTTAGGGTTAGGATTAGGTTATCATTGTTAATATCTGAGTAATGCTCATAGAAATAAATGGAGAGTCATCACAAAGATAGGAATATATGAACTGTTCCTGTATGTGTGAGGACGTGAGCCTTAGCGCCCCCTGTTGTAACGCCTTGCATGTAACACCTTGTATGTGTGAGGACGTGAGCCTTAGCGCCCCCTGTTGTAACACCTTGTATGTGTGAGGACGTGAGCCTTAGCGCCCCCTGTTGTAACGCCTTGCATGTAACACCTTGTATGTGTGAGGACGTGAGCCTTAGCGCCCCCTGTTGTAACGCCTTG